CAGTAAAAGCTAGAACGACAAAGAAAGACAAGTATGGAGCGCTAGTTCTTGTAATTGACTGTGGCAGTTCAATGCAAGAAGAAAGCAATGGAAGAAGCCATTTCTCCATGGCAAAGGAAGCCGCAGATTGGATTCTTTCGCGAAAGGCGGGTCTTTCAAACTGTCATCTTGCATTGCGATTTGCTGAATATGTTCATGTGATATTTTTGGTCACAGCAGTTTGCTTATCTTGTATAATAGAGATTGATAGAAAACAAGTAGTCAGACGTCTACCTAATCGAAGCTCTTGTACAAGTAGAAACCATTCTAACAACTAGTATAACTGGATAAAATGTTTATGTACTCATTTTGAAGCAGAATATGGGCCAAGTATGGAGTTACCTTAGGATTTCTATTTTTTAATTATTGATCAATTTACTGGAAACATATCCATATCAAGTGGCTCTTTCTTGATTTAGAACTTAAGTCTTTTTTACAGTGTGGTAAAACTAAGCAGATTTCCAGATAACATCCCTTTCTCTTGTACAAATAGAAACCATTCTAACAACTAGTATAACTGGATAAAATGTTTATGTACTCATTTTCCTAGCACTGAATGTCTAAAAATATGCTATTCCTAGATGATGCCATTTCAGATATTTACTCAGGCTAAAGAGCGCATTTCAATCATTCTTTTTGGCTGTGAGGAGACGAAGAACCCGCTCGACATCAAGGGAGTGCTCCTGCAAAACGAAGTCCTCTCGCCTTTGAGTTTCGACCACCTTCGCTTTCTGAGCCATGAAGTAAACAGCAGTGCAGCAGGCGTTGGCAATGGTTAGTGCTTGTTGAGTCAGCTTGTATCTCTTGTTAAGTGTGCTTATAGCTATTGATGCTCTTGTTGTTGCTACCGACTTCTTACATCAACAGACAGATGGTGACGTCGCTGTGCAATCAAAAAACATTCTTGTTAGTACTACCATAGTTTGGATAGCTCACGACTTCTTTTTAAAATTAGCAAATTGCAGATCTTCACCAATGGAATCCCCCCTTTTGATGCTCGCAAGTCTGAAGTATCTGCATTAGTAAATGGAATTAATGCCATGGAGGCCACTCTTGTGGCAATGTATGTTTACTTCTGTTGAAATCTTCAAACTTATTCCGCTTAATCTATCTTTAAAAAGGTTTAGAATGTTTGAGGGAAGAAGAAATTC